AATGTGGCTATTTTTAGGAAATGAAAATTAGACTTTGAATCCAAACATTTTGAAAATCTGTGTGTAGGATTTTTGCTCAGTTTTCAGTAATCTGAAATTTTTGACCTTCTTCCAACCACTTTCACTTTAGATGGGTTATTACAACTGAATTTCCCGATGTTGTCCTATCCGGCAGCGAACGATTAAATTCTTTTGGGGGCGGCGGATTCCCGCCAAGAGGAAACGTGGCCGGAAACGTCGCGGTCAAATCGGCCAAGAAAATTATGTAGAATTTTTCACAAACGGTGTGGCCGAAATTTTTGGCGTTAAATCAAAAAAGAGGACTAATTTTGTTATTTTTTGGAAAAATTGCTAGAAATTGATAAGTATTTTTTGTCATAATGTTCAAACGCGCCATCCTTTAAACGATAAATGATAAATATCAAAAAAAGATAGGAGTTTTAATTGATTCTTGTAATCTTTCTCCAAGCACTTTTAAACTTTACCGAAAAAAATGTTTTGTTGCTTTCAAAGTGCAGAAGTAATTTTCACGACATTTTTCGAAAATTCGAACCTGTGGTAGCTCAGCGGTTTATTGATAATAAGCAAACAATACAAAGCAAAATATGGGTATGAGTTATCGAAGTGGTGGCTATTCTCGTCGGGGATGGTGGCGGCTCCTGGGACTCAGAGCGTCGTAGGGGATGACGGCAGCGATGTATGTAGCACAGGACACCTGGACGGTGCGACTCTGGAGATGACGACGTCGGTGGTGCGGCACAGGAGACCTAGAGAATGCGACCCTGGAGATGACGACGTCGGCGATGCGGCACAGGGGACCTGGACAGTGCGACCCTGGAGATGACGTCGTTGAAGCGGCGCAGGGGACCGTAAAACAGTGCAGCCCTGGTGAAGATCTCGAAGCGGCGCAGGGGACCGTAAAACAGTGCAGCCCTGGTGAAGATCTCGAAGCGGCGCAGGGGACCGTAAAACAGTGCAGCCCTGGTGATGATCTCGAAGCAGCGCAGGGGACCGTAAAACAGTGCAGCCCTGGTGATGATCTCGAAGCAGCGCAGGGGACCGTAACACAGTGCAGCCCTGGTAATAATATCGAAGCGGCGCAGGGGACCGTAACACAGTGCAGCCCTGGTGATCACCAGAAGGGGACCGAGACAGTGCAGCCCTTAAGGTGGAGATGGTGGAGTTCCATCTGCCTGGAAAGCGTCCGAGTTGCCCTTTTATAGGCAGGGTTGAGATGCGTGGGAGTACCTGCACAATGAAGTAGCTTCAGGTGGGGTGCGTTCCAGTGGGGGTGAGCTTGGTGGGGTTGATACTGGCGCTGCCGAGGACAGCGCCCTCGAGAGGGTACTAGCGGAGCGCTTTGAAAGCTCCGCTACAATCTCCCCCTCAGGACCATTAAGGCGTCCCGACTATGGTCCTGAACTCGCTTTCTGAGGCGGCCTCGTTTTCGTAGCGGGGCCACTGGCGCTGGCGTAGGTGTAGTGCTCCCGTGAAACGGAGTGTGGTAGACACCTAGGGATGCTTGGGGATGCTGTGCGTCGTATATCTTATAACTCGTGGGTCCTTGTGGGCGCCTAATGAAATAAGGGCCCTCGTATTTAGGAGCAATTTGGACGCTGACTCCTTTTCGAGCGTTGCTTCGTGGATGGGTTACTACCAGCACTTGATCTCGGGGTTGGTACTCGTGTGCGGGTCTTCGCGACTGGACGGTGTACTTCTTTTCGGCGCTCGTGAACAAGCGGTTACCGTATTTTACAGGGAGTTCGTTGGTGGCCTCCCCCTGGAGTGGAGCTACTCCTCGTACGTAGCTGCTATCTGTCGTTAGCACAAAGGGTTTCCTCATCTTCCTCCGCCCTTTACGCCGGGACTTCTTTTCTTTGCGGAAGGTCCGTCCTTTCTCTGCTGGAAGTTGCAAAGAGGAGAACGTGATGTGGGGGATTTCGGGGAATTTTTCGTTTCCAGTGGCGGAGCAGGCGTCAGCCTCCATGTATTCCATCGCAGGAAAATCTCGGGCTCGTGATGGTGCGGAGAAGGTCCGGATGTCATCGATTTCCATCGGTACGGTGAGTGGCGGTACCTGCATATCTCGGACGATTTCTTGTGAGCGATCTATGGTGGGTTGCGCTCTAGGATTTATCCTCGCTGCATAGAAGTTTGTCCGTCGTGTCTCTGAATTGCAGTTTGGACAGTTCCGGCGGAAGACGCCGGGACGTTGGCATCCGTAACATCTAATGATCTCTTGGTCATTGGCCGGTCGTCGCTGATCCTGTGTTTTTCTCCTGCATTCTTGTGTCTCGTGGCCAAAGTTCTTACAGAAATCGCACCTGGGCCGTGGTCTTCGGTCGATTCTTGGGAATTCTTGCCGTCGGAATGTTTGGCCATTTTTTGGGGTTTCTGGTGCGTGGTTTCTAACTCTCCTCGTTTCTCTCTCGTTCTCCTCAACGATTCGGGACTTGTCGAGAAGTTCGACGAAGGACCTGCAGTCGGACCTGGCGATTTTATCCCGAATATGGTATCTCAGCAGACCGTAGATTATGTCTAACTGCCATTCCTCGTCCAAATCTCGCGTCATTTGCGCCAGTCGTTCTCGTTGGATGGTTACGAACTTATCGGTTGGCGTCTTTTCGTCCTGGGGATTATTAAAAATGTCCAGAAAAAGGCGATGGTTAGGTCGCCTGGGGGCAAAAGCTTCTCGTAGAAGTTCCGTAGCTTCTCTCCATGTGTGTACCTGATTTTTCACGCCATTCCACCACTGGTTGGCTTCTCCAGTCAGTAGTAGGGGTAAGCCGGCTATGGCGTCCTCATCCGTGATATTTTCCATATCCTTGTATAAAGTCGCAGCCGTAAGAAATTCCGTTACAGCAGCGTGGGCGCGCTTTCCGTCAAAACGGGCCTGGCAGTGGGTAAAGTGGCGGTTCCTGACCACTTGCGGTTGCGGGACAACTTGTACCCTATCCAAGAGCTGCTGGAACTGCTCCGGTGTCATCTGTATAGCCGCCATTGTGGAGTTACGGGGACTTCTTCGGACTGGCAGTGATGCCGTTCTTTTCTGTCGTGGAATCTTGCCTTCTTCGAGCCGCGACGTTGGTCGACAGTTTTGTGGTATTTTGCCTACCTCGAGCCGCTACGTTGGGGCGACAGTTTTGTAGAATTTTGCCTTCTTCGAGCCACTAAGTTGGGCGATAGATTTGTAGAATGTTGCCTTCTTCGAGCCACTAAGTTGGGCGCCAGTTTGTGGTATTTTCTCTTCTTCAAGGCCCCACGGTGGGGAGCCAGATTGTGGTATCCTTCCTTGTTCGAAGCCCCACGTTAGGGCGACAGTTTGTGGTAGCTCAGCGGTTTATTGATAATAAGCAAACAATACAAAGCAAAATATGGGTATGAGTTATCGAAGTGGTGGCTATTCTCGTCGGGGATGGTGGCGGCTCCTGGGACTCAGAGCGTCGTAGGGGATGACGGCAGCGATGTATGTAGCACAGGACACCTGGACGGTGCGACTCTGGAGATGACGACGTCGGTGGTGCGGCACAGGAGACCTAGAGAATGCGACCCTGGAGATGACGACGTCGGCGATGCGGCACAGGGGACCTGGACAGTGCGACCCTGGAGATGACGTCGTTGAAGCGGCGCAGGGGACCGTAAAACAGTGCAGCCCTGGTGAAGATCTCGAAGCGGCGCAGGGGACCGTAAAACAGTGCAGCCCTGGTGAAGATCTCGAAGCGGCGCAGGGGACCGTAAAACAGTGCAGCCCTGGTGATGATCTCGAAGCAGCGCAGGGGACCGTAAAACAGTGCAGCCCTGGTGATGATCTCGAAGCAGCGCAGGGGACCGTAACACAGTGCAGCCCTGGTAATAATATCGAAGCGGCGCAGGGGACCGTAACACAGTGCAGCCCTGGTGATCACCAGAAGGGGACCGAGACAGTGCAGCCCTTAAGGTGGAGATGGTGGAGTTCCATCTGCCTGGAAAGCGTCCGAGTTGCCCTTTTATAGGCAGGGTTGAGATGCGTGGGAGTACCTGCACAATGAAGTAGCTTCAGGTGGGGTGCGTTCCAGTGGGGGTGAGCTTGGTGGGGTTGATACTGGCGCTGCCGAGGACAGCGCCCTCGAGAGGGTACTAGCGGAGCGCTTTGAAAGCTCCGCTACAAACCATCTTTCCAGAATCACCAAAATGAAATATCGCCATTAGTAATATTATAAAAATTTGATTTTAAAACCGAAAATTTCAAAAATTTGTCAAAAGTTCTATTTTTCAGTAACTCGGAATTAAATTTTTGACCTTCTTTAGAGCAGTTTCGAAAATTCTATAAACACGTTTTTTTGTTGATTTCGACTTACAGAAGTTATTTTTGGCTATATTGCTTTCAAACTGTGTAAAATTATCTCATTTGTTCATGCAAAATAATAAAGAAAAAATAACAAAAGTTCGTCCGTAATGTTTCTACGACAGTAATGTCAGATACTAGACTGTAGTTCTCCGAATTAAAAAAAAATATTGACCTGACATGCCTCGACCTGACCTGACCTAACTTGATCTAACCTGACCTGATATGAATAAACCGAAATGAAGTAGAATTCCTTTAAATTTAGCCTATAAGAAAATAATCATTATTTTAAGTGAAATTTTTAACAAGTCTAAAAACAAAAAAAAACACTTCTTTATTAAATCTCTGTGTAACTGCGACCCTATTCCCATTTCAACAAAGCGATCGACACGTTTAGAACAACAGCAAACTCCGTTGTTTGAAATTTTACAAACTTTCTCAAAGACTCCAACAATATTCACATCCACCTCTTTGAAACTTCGTGCCACTCGACATTTCCCCAACATTTAATACAAAACTCATTCACCACATCCACAAGCCACGCAGATTACGACTTACGCCCTCCCGCTCCCCTTTGCCCCCTCGTAAAATATACATTTCAACAAACAATGCAGACCTGTCTCCCGAATTTATTTCGTCGGAAATTGGCTTTTTAACAATTGAAATTGAATTTCAGGTGGTTGCACCGTCGAGCGCTATCCGTGTGAGCCGGGGGTGAGGCACACATGTCCTCGGCTCGAGAGACGCCCCTTGCAGTGGGGCCATGCGTGAGCTAGACGGCCCCACGCTCCGACACCTGACCAAGGACCAACAGCCCCACATTCATGTACACCCCCTGCTCGACGTTGACGGTGAGTTGTTTTATAATTGAATTCCCCGCTGTTGTCCTAATCCGGCGGCGAACAATTAAATTCCTTTGGGGGCGGCGGATTCCCGTCACGGGGAGATGTGGCCAGAACCGTCACGGCCAAATCGGCCGGCGGAATTATGTGGGTCGAAGTGATTAATGGAATTTTTCGCGGGGGGTGGTAAAAAGATTCTTCTAATGTAGATTTGATCCTTGGAAATTCGCCCCGAATCAAAAATAATGTACTGCAGCGGCGCCCGATATTGAAAATCGGGAATATCGGGATTTGTGCGATGAAAACAAGAAACCTGCTGCATCATTCACGCTCACATCCCCACTTTGTATGCATAAAACACTCTGCACAGGATCACCAGCCATGTCTGCATAAAAGATGCTGTTTGCCCGCGTCGATCCAGTGTTTCTCAACAATGCTACAATCGCATTTCGTACAGAAAGGGAGATCTCGCAGGAGCTACTTATTACATTGTGCTCTTGACAATTCAAAATTAATTACGCGGGAGACTTGGCTTAACGAACTTTGGGAGACTATTAATATTTCGGTTTCCTTTCGAAACCGCCGTAATCCGCTTTAATCGAATCAAAATAAACTAATTAGGAGTTTATTAATAATGAGAGGAATGATCGGAAAACATTGGAAATTTTAAAACAAACACGGTTTATTTTCGTGTCGACGATTTAACGCAGGGTCGGTTGCTTCAAGCAAATCGATCGTTTGATGTATGTTGTTAAATAAATTCACACGAAAATATAGAATGCGATCTAAATAAATTGAAATCCCATTGAACTGTCGCCGACCCAATTCATGTCAGAAGTTTAATTCAGTGTTACCGCAACCGCAATAGTAATAAATGTCAAAAGTGACATTTATCAGACAAGCAAAGACGGAAGTTCAACACGCCGGAATTATTCGTACTTTATACAAACCGTGGAAGATTCACCAAAGGGGTATTTGGCAGGATTTTCTATTTCGACCCATTTGTAGCTGCTGTTATTTAGTGCAAACACCACACAAACAATATTTGTCGTCGAAATCGTTTACATTATTGTTCACATTTATTTCAAGCTTTCTTTCAATGTCTGCTCGCTATAAACAAACCAAGTTCATTTATTCTTTGCGTTTTGAATTCATAGCTCGACGCCAAATTTGATAATTGGAAAAACAATGCTTCTTACGGAAGTGCCTACAATTAGAATTTTGTTGACTTTTCGTAAGATGTTGGGTTTTGCATTAGCACGTCTGCTATAATTGACATCGATCAATTTAAAATTGGAAAATCCGCATCTAGTGAAACGTAATCGGTTATAATTATTTCGCGTACATGTGCCAATAACCTAGTGATTGTTGCCTTGAGGTTGCAAAATGCAGTATTTTCTGACAGTTAAGAATCGCGTCTGATCTGGTTTAGTCCTGTTTTAATTATGTGGGGAACATCATCGCGGTTTCGGGAGTTATCAGCTCTGTTGGGATACCATTTATGAGCCTAAAAAATCCACAACTCGAGAAAACTGAATCTAAAATTCCTATAAAACCTAAATTTTTGAACTATTTAATAATACTTTGAAAATTTGTTATCGAATTTTTGGTGGAGGTAAAGAATTACATTGTGTAATTTTGCAATATACGTACAATGTGCCCAAATTTACTGCGAAATTATGCCAGATATGTGGAAGAGAACTAATGTGTAATACATGTAGTCAATGAAGAAGAAAATGAATTGAAAAACAGAATAAAAAACAATTAAATTATTGGGAACATATTTCATCATTAGAACAGGCACAAACGTTGTAGATATTAATTTTGATATACTTCATTCAGCGATTTCATCTTGTGTCAAAAATACTACTTCTCATCTAAAATCTACCTCTAATAAATGTATTCAATTTTTTTTAATCACTCTGGTGTAACTACCATCCTTTTACAATTTGAATAATTGATTGTTGAAAGAAGAACGGAAAGAAAGTCAAAGAATAAGCCCCACCCACCTGCTCTCATCTGATTTGTGATGATCTCCGGGGGGGCGGAGCTTATAGCAAAATCTTTATTTTTCTACAAGAAATTACCATGTGAAACATGTTCTCCAGTGAATCGTGTTGTTCAAAGAAAACAAAAGATATCGGTGTGGGTGGAGCTTAATCTTTTCCCCTTTATCGTGAAAACTACTTACTAAGAAAAAAATCTGATGAATTTTCCTATTCCGCTACAAGAAATTGACATATGTTTTTAAGTATGCTGTTGATGAAAGAAACCTGCATATATTAAGGAGAAACAGAGCAAAGATTAAGCCCCACCCACCCACCCTAATCTCAATTGTGATGAATTTTCCATTCCTTGTCAAGCCGAGGGGCGGAACTTAAATGCAAACTCATTTCGGTACAAAAAATTATGAAAATATGTTGTAAGTACGAGTATTATTATATTGTTGGTAAATATATCATTTTAACAGTAAGGTGACTATGTAACTCCTCCCACTTATAACAACAACACGATACTTATACATATGTTGCTAATGATAATTTCTTGTACTCCTCCTCCTACTTATAACAACAATACGATACTTATACATATGTTGCAAATGATAATTTCTTGTAGGAAAATCAGGATTTTGCGATTAAACTCCGCCCACGGGCTCACGGCGAAAAAAAATCACCACAAATGAAATAGGGGCGGGTGGGCGGGGTTTATATATTGCTTTGTTTCTTAATTAAACCTGCATATATTAAAGGAAAAACAGGGCAAAGATTAGGCCCCACCCACCCGCCCCAATCTCAGTTGTGATGAATTTTTTATTCGTTGTCAAGCCGAGGGCGAAGCTTAAATGCAAAGTTCATATTTATGTATAAAAAATTACGAAAAAATGATTTATGTATTATCATATCGTTAGTAAATATGTATATCATATTAAGAATAAGGCGACTATGTAACTCTGCCCACTTATGACAACAACACGATACTTAAACATATGTTGAATACTTTCTTGTAGGAAAATCAGGACTTTGCAATTACACTCCGCCCCCGGGCTCACGGCACCGGCAAATAAAAAAAATCACCACAAATAAAATAGGGGCGGGTGGGTGGGGTTTATATTGTGCTTTGTTTCTTAATTAAACCTGCATATATTAAGGAAAAACAGAGCAAGGATTAAGCCCCACCCACCCGCCCTAATCTCAATTGTGATGAATTTTTCATTCGTTGTCAAGCCGAGGGCAGTGCTTAAATGCAAAGTTCATAATTGTCTAAAAGAAATTATGAAAACATGTTTTAAGTATTATCATATTGTTGGTAAAAACATCATTCTAAGAATAACGCGAGTATGTAACTCCGCCCACTTATGACAACAACAGGATACTTAAATATATGTTGCAAATGATAATTTCTTGTAAGAAAATCAGGATTTTGCGATTAAGCTCCGCCCCCAGGCTCACGGCGAATAAAAAAAAATTACCACAAATGAAATAGGGGCGGGTGGGTGGGGTTTATATTTTGCTTTGTTCCTTAATTAAACCCGCATATATTAAAGAAAAACAGGGCAAAGATTAAACACCACCCACCCGCCCTAATCTCAGTTGTGATGAATTTTTCATTCCTTGTCAAGCCAAGGGCGGAGCTTAAATACAAAGTTCATATTAATGTATAAGAAATTACGAGAAAACATGTTTTAAGTATTATCATATTGATGCTAAATACATTATTTTAAGTATAAGGCCACTATGTAACTCCGCCCAATTATGATAACAACACGATACTTAAACATAGTGTTCAAATGATAATTTCTTGCACAAAAGCAAGGTTTTGTTTGCAGTTAAGCTCCGCCCACGAGCTCAGGGCGAATAAAAAAAATCACCACAAATGAAATAGGGGCGGGTGGGCGGGGTTTATATTTTGCTTTGTTTCTTAATTAAACCTTCATATATTAAGGAAAAACAGAGCAAGGATTAAGCCCCACCCACCGGCCCTAATCTCAATTGTGATGAATTTTTCATTCGTTGTCAAGCCGAGGGCAGTGCTTAAATGCAAAGTTCATAATTGTCTAAAAGAAATTATGAAAACATGTTTTAAGTATTATCATATAGTTGGTAAAAACATCATTCTAAGAATAACGCGAGTATGTAACTCCGCCCACTTATGACAACAACAGGATACTTAAACATATGTTGCGAATGTGAATTTCTTGTAGGAAAATCAGGATTTTGCGATTAAGCTCCGCCCCCAGGCTCACGGCGAATAAAAAAAATCACCACAAATGAAATAGGGGCGGGTGGGTGGGGTTTATATTTTGCTTTTTTCCTTAATTAAACCTGCATATATTAAAGAAAAACAGAGCAAAAGATTAAACCCCACCCACCCGCCCTAATCTCAGTTGTGATGAATTTTTCATTCATTGTCAAGCCGAGGGCGGAGCTTAAATGCAAAGTTCATAATTCTGTAGAAGAAATTAAGAAAACATGTTTTAAGCATTATCATATTGTTGGTAAAAACATCATTCTAAGAATAACGCGGCTATGTAGCTCCGCCAACTTATGACAACAACAGGATACTTAAATATATGTTGCAAATGATAATTTCTTGTAGGAAAATCAGAATTTTGCTATTAAACTCCGCCCCTGAGCTCACGGCGAATAAAAATAATCACCACAAATGAAATAGGGGCGGGTGGGCGAGGTTTATATTTTGCTTTGTTTCTTAATTAAACCTGCATATATTAAGGAAAAACAGGGCAAAGATTAAGCCCCACCCACCCGCCCTAATCTCAGTTGTGATGAATTTTTTATTCGTTGTCAAGCCGAGGGCGGAGCATATTATAAGAAATTACGAAAACATGTTTCAAATATTGTCATATTGTTAGTAAATACATCATTTTAAGAATAAGGCGACTGTGTAACTCCGCCCACTTATGACAGCAACAGGATACTTAAACATATGTTGCAAATGATAATTTCTTGTAGGAAAATCAGGATTTTGCGATTAAGCTCCGCCCCCACCCT